GTGGAAGACTGCAAAGTAGCCAAAAGATCCGGATAGCCATCCATATTGAAGTCGCCACCGCGGAGGGTAATGGTTTCCGTGTAACGATGACCGTCCGGCTTCACGAAACCCCACAACACGTTGCTGGGATCGCGGAAGTTCACTGGGAGATTATGCCAGCGGTTCTGGTACATCATTATCGTGCAATTGGTGCAAGCCTCGTTAAAGCACAGTGGTAGAAGGAGAGCCATTTTGCCAGTTAGTTCGAGGTCGAGATAGAGAGTCTGACCAAATTCGGTCGAAATATTGTATGGGAGATCGATTTTGTAGGAAAACTGAAACCCTTGCTCGATACCTAACCATATCTCGAAGGACTTTTTCGTGGTTACCACGAGATCCGATAGAAAGTCATTATTTAAATCCAAAAAAGCATGGGAGTGCGGTGTTCTCACAGGCTCCGGCGGTTCGATCTGACTCATGTTGATGATACGCGGACTGGTTCTATTCTCATTGAATACCCAGAATACCCTGTTGCCGTGTTCGTCCACTCCGAAAAGATCAATTATCATATCTTGATTGTAATCCAATGCCAATGGCTGATCGCGCATCTTTATAAGTGGAGACGATATGTTGCTACAGTTCAACTGGCCGTTCCCGCCCCAGAGTATGTGCACATGAGTGAGCTTTTCCGAGAAATTGAAGGTCGTCACTAGGATATCCATGAAGACGTCACCGTCAAAGTCGCCCGGTACTACGCTGGTCACATGATCCTTGAACGAGCAATTCAGATGCGGTGCAGGCCGCAACAACGGCTCCTGATCAGCCGCCAAGAATATCTCTACCGTCTGACTGCCATTCGGTTTTCCGCGCAGCATAAATACGTCCGTCAGCTCATCAGAATTAAAGTCGCCGAACGCTGCCGGCATACCATCCAACACGTTACCAAACACGGCAGGTGTTATGTTGCTGCATCTCGCTGCCGTGACGAGCACGACGAGATGGACCAACGTTCGAATTGGCAGCATGATTTACATCCCAACGAATGACCTGCAATAATTGTGTGCACCTTAAAAATGAGGACTTTTAAGCGATAAAAATATTATTTTGATACAGCATGAGATTTTTAATGCAACAATCGCTTGCATGTAAAATTCAACGACATGTAGTCCACTTCAAATAATTATAAAAACAAAAAAATAAAAATTAATCACAAAAGATTCTTTTAATATCAAAATAATAAAACAACAAGTTCAAAATGCATTTCATCTTTTTCCTCCATATGTGATATAATAAATATGTTTTTAAATCGAATCCATTTTCCTACATTGTGGGCAAAATTAGTATTAATTAAGATAAGGATTTTAAAAATAATATGAAGCTAAAGACGTAAAAGAGATATGAAAAATGTTGTTAGCTTGGTTATAAATTTGCATCGCAGAAAAATAATTACTGAAATGACATATTATTATATTTCATAATAGTCCTTTAACAGAGGCGTATAAACAAAATAATATTTTTAAAAATTTGTGCGATGAGTAATAACAAACAAAGAACATTATCACTTTTTTACAAGTCTATACTTAACCTAAAATAGTACAACATAGAATTGCGTACGAGTGTGTAAGCAAAGCTCTATAAACTGAAAATATTTCTCTCATAATGTTCATATACTTACATTTATAAATTTCACTAATCAAAATTTAACGTTTTCGCTGGATATTATAAGAAATATACATACGATGTGCAATACTAGATTATCATAGCTGACAGCTAATGACACATACTACACGAGTCAAAATAGAGTATCATTCGAGATATGATTTTGCGCACGAAAGGATGCACATAAAGCCCGTTCTACATTGATCGCATGTCGCCAGTCGCAAGCAAATCGACCAATCACAGTCGAATATTCGACGGAATAATCGACTGTGATTGGTCGATTTGCTTGCGACCGGCGACATGCGATCAATGTAGAACGGGCTTAATATTAAGAAACTTTTTCTCTAAACGAATATATATTATAAGTATTGAGAAAAACAAATTTTATTTTAAAAGTAATTGTGACAGATATATATGTATATATATTATATATATAAAACCAATTTTCTATTTATTATTCCAATTTAAATTTTCATGAATAACTTATTGAAGAAAAATGTAGAATAAGTTTTCAAAACTAAAAAGATAAAAATTAGATGACTAGATAATGGAGGAAAATTATTGCAAAAGATAGGATGGGAAAATATTATTTATATCAATTGGCTACATATGTGAAAATACCTGTATGATAGCTTCTTTCTTTATAGCACCATCTACCTCTGAAACTGTGTAGAAATCATTTTCGCAAATTTCATCCTATTAATAATAATGAAAGTTTCCAATCATTATTAAAATTATATTCTTTTATATTTTCTTTTTAATATTTAATGCTCCATGTGCGCTTATATATATATATATATATATATATATATATATATATATATATATATATATATATATATATATATATATATATATATATATATATATATATATATATATATATATATATATATATATATATATATATATATATATATATATATATACACACACACAAGTATATATTTATATTTTAGTGTATATCACACATGTGCAAATTGGCATGTCATTAACACATACATATTGTTTGTTAGAAAGGTACAAACGTTTTGTTAAAGAAAGTAGCGATTACATAAAAGAAGAGTATAGGATTTAATAAAAATATGTCAAAATAATATTAATAGCCAACAGCAGTTTATCATCACTATATCTTAGATGTTATTTTATTTACTTGCAATTCTATTATCACATATATATATTTATATATATATATTTTACAATCCCAACAATAAAAATATTTTTAACGTTGTAACATCGCTAGAAGATCGCGTATTGTGTTTTATGTACATCATATATAAATATTTGTATAAAAATATGAATTTGCAAAATTTTGCATTAAATGATTTTATCATACTTTAGTATTGGGTAACTTCCTTGTTGTATGAATCTTCTGATGAATCTGTTTCTCCAAATCGATTTACAATTATAATTATTAATTGTTCATATTATCGCCATATCAGAAATACAATAAAGTAATTTACAATTAATTGTTCAAGCTTATATGAAAATTTACATACTCGTAACATATTTGGAATAATTTTTACAAATATTTTGGTTTTCTGTCAGAATAATGCAAAAATTTCTTTTAACAATACATTAAGCATGAAAAAGAAAACACAACTTGTTGAAGGCACTTTTTTAAATATAACAATCACAGGATACTTGCATTAGATAATCATTCCCTCTATTTGCAATTAACATGCGTTGCTATCTAAATTTATTTCCAACGCTTTTACGCAAAGTTTATGCAAAATGACGTCGCAAGATAAATAAGCCAATACAGATGAATGTTCTTGATATAAATATTGTTTAATAATTCTTTTAATTTTTAAGCAATTTTTAATCATATCAGACTCATTCTCACGAGCAAAAAGATCTCGAGTATAACGTATAAGACCATTCTTCTTATTCTTTCTTTCTCAAAACTTAAAAACTTAATATAGAACAAAGTGTTTGTTCGAGATATGCTTAAGGAGATTGAATTCGTTTTGCGCGATTACGTATTTTATCGACGAGTCATCAACAATAACATTGATTTTACAACAAATACAGCTTCGATATATCCAAAATTGTACAAAAACAGAAGAAATTTACTATCATCGTCAAAGTTGTTTGTGCAGCTGTTAAGGAAGAGAGACTTATCGATTACAAAAAAATGCATTCTACTATACAAGCAGAATCTTTTTGTTTGACGACATCTATTTCTTAGTACAATCGAGAGATAATGATCTTTTTTCCGTCCTTCATAAACGCTATATATAAATATCTATGCTATATAATAATAACTAATATATATTCATATCTTATATGTATATATATCTAATAAGACTTTTATGCGCACGGTGCACAAATATCTACAACATATATAAACACCATTATTGTATTATACACACACTGTGCTAGTCAATGCTAGCGGCGCAACTGGATTCGAGGTAAAGTCTCCCAGACGAGGATGGGAATCTTTCTTTCACACCTTTTTCATTCACAGGCCATACGCACAATACAAAATGGCTATAGTTGCGATAAAAAGGGATGAACAATGAGGGGATCTTTGCTCTAATACTGCTGCCACAAGTTTGTCAGATTACAAACGCAAATTATCTAACTTGAAGATAAACGTAACAATAGAGAAACACTACAATAGATTCTTCTTCTGTATGATTTGTGGTAAATCTATTCAAATTTATCTCGTATACAAATCTCAATGCATATATATCGTATTTTATAATAATAATAATAATATATATATATATATATATATATATATATATATTATTATTATTATTATTAGATGGTGTTAGGAACTCAAAAGTTCATTGCCGCAAATACCAAATCCCGCCAATACTCCTGATCCCGAGCAAGATCCTTCCATTGGCGACCCTCGTACCCCATCTCGTTCAGATCCATTTTAACATTATCTTCCCACCTACGTCTTAGTCTACCCAAAGGTCTTTTACCATTGGGTTTACCAATTAGTATTC